AAACTGACAAAAATCGTAGAAGATGAACTTTTGGTAAATTTTTTGAACATTTTGTTAATACGCTTCATCGTATATTTTATCACAGAAAATGATTTTAAGTGTCTCAAACATTGTTTTCTGAGCATAAATGACGCGAAAAAAACGTTTTAACAAAAAGTTCAAAAAATTAACCAAAAGTTCTTATTTAACGGTTTAAGTCAATTTTTAAGTGTCCTTCAGCATTCCAAAAGTTTATATTTTTCATTAGATTTTTATGAATAAAAATTTCGAAATTCAGCAAATATATTTTGAGATATTGAGGGTTTTAGTATTTTTTTTTTATATAATTTTTACTTGAAATTACAAAAAAAAACCTTAAATATAACTTTGTATATTTTCCCAGAAAAAAAGTAAGAAGTTGTATCCAAGCCTCGACCGTAATCCTACGTCAAACGTTCTCAGTATCAATATTTGGCAACTATGCTAGGGAAACCACTATTTGCAGGCAATCGGTGATAATTTTGATCACCATTGCAACAGTTGGACATTAGTGTAATTTTCAATAGTGACCTATTAAAAATTGATAAAGTATTCATTTTAGCAGCTTCGTAGAAAAATTACCAATCGATTGGTTTGTTTAGAATTAATATCCATCCGCTATTGACAGAGTTATAAGTGGTCAAAACCTGACCCTTTTTCGTAGCGCCGTCGATTTTGTTTTTTATTTTTAAATTGCACCCCCAATATGTTGCTGAAAGACGTAATCCTACGTAAAAACATAATTTTTCTCAACAACTTTGTCTCAAACGTCCTTTTGATCACCGTATCGTTTTCGTACTGCAATTTTTGAAAAATAAAAAATAAATCACCGTTTTGAAAATTTTACAAAATCCAAAAAGGCCAAATAACAAAAAATATGCAAATCGAAGAAGATCGAGTTTTTTCGCATCGTCATTTGGCGTAGAACGACTGATAAAAACTTGATTTTAAGGGTGTTTTAGGGATCAACAGCTTGAAATGCGTTTTCCTCCATAAATAAGGCCTAAATCGGGATTTTAGGGGTGTTTTGGAGATCAAAAAAAGTAGAAGGGTCTGTGCCTAGGGGCACGAACGGAAGCTTGACATAGGACCGCTAGTGGGTGGAATAAATATGAAGAGCATTTAGTTCTTTTAATTGATCAATTATCTATTATCTCAACTCTTTCCATTTTTGAATTGTAGGCGTACCAAATTTGTAGTATTTTTTTCAAAGAGGAAGTTGATTAAGAGAATCAATCAAAATCACTTGCACCCCTGCTTCCAAGTTTGGTTACAAGATTACAACTCTGGAGAGCATTTTGTGTGGTCGTTGTGGGCTTGTGGTTCTTAATATGGACAAACAGGCACAGATAAATGCTATTCCAGCTCTTTACTGATATAAGCTTGATGGCCCTGAAAAGAGCCGTTTTATTGTAGAGGACATCCATAGCTACTTACGATTGGCGTGTTTAGTGTAGGTGACAGCATCACGGACCTCATTTTCCAGGAACACCTTCAGCACACCTCGTAGATCAGACCGGAGATACGTTTGACACCGCCACGGCGAGCCACACGACGGATGGTGGTTATCTTGAAGAACTTTGCGATGACGCTTGGCACCTCCTTTACCAGACCTTTTCCTCCTTTGCCACGACCAGTCAATTGTTGCTTGTTGGGTGTGAAGGAGTGGACTAGCCACCACCTTCCTACTGCTGCTATTGCTGCTCACCACGCCGTCCGAGTCGAAAATGAGCTAATGCCATACAGCAGCGCTCTTTTATACCTTTTCAGGTTAAAGCAGAATTATGTGCAACCAAGTGGAACTCGATTATGAGGACTGGGTTTTGGGAAGAACGTTTATTTCATGAAAACAGTGATAACATTACAACTTTTTATTTGTACATTGGACAATACTTGACATTACCACTTTTTTAATACTTTCACGTTGAAAATCATCATGCGGAATCGTGATTTGAGTGGTGTTTAGGAGTTTAAAACTTTTAAATGCGTAAATAAGGCCTAAATCGCGATTTGAAGTTCAAATACTTAAATGCGATTATCTCCATAAATTAAGCCTAAATCGTGATTTTAAGGATGTTTTGGGATTCAATAAGGCATAAATCCAAATAAGGCCTTATTTAGGGGTTTTAGGGATGTTTTTGGGTTCCAAAACCATGAAATGCGTTTTTCTCCGCGAATAAGGCCTAAATCGTGATTTTGGGGGTGAGTTGGGGTCCAAAATCTTTAAATGCATTTTCTCCGTAAATAACCCAATAACAACATTCAAAGCTTGTTCAGCAAATTATTGCTTATTCAGGTTTTAATCAGCTCAAATTTTTCGTTGGGTAGGCCCAAATCATGATTTTGAGGATTTTTTAGTGTTCAAAATATTTAAACTCGTTTTTCTTCGTAAATTAGGCCTAAATCGTGATTTTGGTGTTTGTTTTGTGTCTACCGAACTTGTAGAAAACCAAAGTGCTCTTTGAGCAACAAGTTGTTTTCAAGTTGTTAGAAGACGCCAGTAATTTTCTATTTCAAATAGCCATGATAACCCTGAGAGAAGGCTGATAGGGCTCCTTCCCAGGTTTCCAGATAGGACTGACTTTAGCTGACTTCCTCCAGCACAAGCGTAATTAGCCAAGCCTAAGGCACTGATTGAAAATCAGTGTCAAATGATTGTAGAATCTAGAACTCACATGTTTGAGTTACAGTTTCAGGATGTTATCGACAACCGTTTTTGGATGATTTGACATAGTTCGTCGGCTGAAATCGCCAATTCCTCAGGAAAGTTGTTGGGAATCAGATGTATTATCCAAGACTATGGGAGCTGCCTTCACATCAGGTAATCAGAAGAACCACTGAATCATTAGAACGATTCAGTGGTACCACCGGTGGAATGGGCCGAAAGGCTACTGGCAAAGTGATTGTTTCTGAGGTGCACCAACCTGAACTAAACGATTTTTGATAGACGACTACCATTGGTCTTCAAAACAGGCAGACCAGTGCGTTAGTACTGCCTTCCAATGTAGTTACGGAGTCTTATAACGTAGATCTATTAAAGTTCAGAGTATTACTCACCTGTCTAAATACTGGCACGTTTTGATCCCTGAACCGCCCGTCAACGGCTTCGGTCGTCTCCGGTTGAACATCATAATCGACAGCGGCGTTGACGCAGGGAGGAACTGATCCCAGCTGAATCTGTTGACGGAGAAGCCCACTTCGGCCACCACCGGATAGTGAGCCGCGCTGAGTTCTTGGTAGACAGATTGCAAGATGTTCTTGCTTTCAAGCGAGCAAGCGTTCCAGTTGACTATCTTTATCAATTCATAGGCCACATTCAATGACGGAAAGGCCCAAAGTGTAAATCTGGTCGAATTGGGTGATAAGCTGGCTGAATACGGGAACCAACTGCTCCACTGGTGAACACAAAGAGAGAGCCAGTGTTGCCGATCGGTGGTGAAGCATCTTCGTGATGCCAGGATGGTACCGGGGTGGAGAAGATACTCAGCGATGCAGCGGTTGTCGCAAACGATTGCTGATTCGAGATTGGCAACGTTCAATACATGCGAGCTAACGATCTTCCACCAGAGGTCCCGGATTGCGATCTAGCGTTGGTGCTGGGGAAATACGATGATTCAAAACGTGTCTTTCGGGAGAAATTCACTGCCATTGAATGTGATTGTTCATTTGGTGCGATAACAATTGGCAGCACTGGAGTGCGTACTTCCTTGCAAGCTTGAAGCTTTTCCAACGTTGCGTGATATATAATTGATCATTTAACTCTGTAAATAAAGACGGAAAACATGCAGAAGTAATAAGCAACTGTTTGTGTAATTTAAAATCATTTAAATTTATAAGTACAATGGATTGAAATCTAATGATTTAATTAACAATTGTAATGGTTACCAGGGATAACAGTTCAAAGCATAGACGAGTAAACACATACATTTGTGAGTTTGCACTTCAAAAACAAAGAGACGTGCAATAAGCTTGTGCTAATGAAAAATGTGCGCTCATGCAGAATGTGCTTAAATATAAAAATTTAACGATTTTTAAAACTTGAGTGAAGAATAATATCGTGCCATGCTAGGGAACTAACATCCAAAATGTTGTTTATGAATACATTTATTTTGGAACTGTTTGTGCTTATTTTGTGCTTATTTTGTGCTCCTTCTGTGCTTTATTTGTGCACTCTTAACCACACCGTACGTCTCTCAAAAAATGTGCGTGCTCTCTCTGGTCTCTTGCTCTCGAAAAAATCGAGTGCAGGAGACTAATAGCGCACAGCACAATCTGTTTTTTTAGCTGTGTGCGTACTTTATGATAATCCCTGATGGTTACGGAAACATATGTGCAACTCATGCATGTTTCAAAACCACAGTTAATTACAGCATGGTTTTGAAACTTCTCAAGTAGCATACATGTTTCAAGTATGTTGAACAAGCTGCTGTGAATCTACAGACGATTCAACGATTTCTTCTGCTAATTTCAATATAATTTTAATATCTCAAAGTTTAACCTTTCCATAGTGATCGAAAACGTCACAACAGAAGAGCATAAAGATATCACAAATTTGTACAAACACGATAAAACCAATTGCAACAATGAGGAATCCCGCCCAGTTACAGAAATTGTTTCAACATAAATTGGAACCTGCCAAACGAACGTACAAGTGAACGTAGATCCAATACCCACTTCTGAACCCCGTCCTATTCACGTACAACTCCCCGACCTTCGAATCACAGTCAATAATTCCACTGAGCTCCACCCACAAAACATTCCACGAAAACCCTCACCACCACACATACACACCAAAATCTATTGCACCTAAACAAGATATTTGCATGCATGTTAGTAAACGACCGATGTTGTCTGATATGTATGAAGAGCGGGCCGCTACGCTGCGAATGTTCTCTCTCGCCCTCTTTCATACCTTCTCTTCTGTTCACTATCTCTCTGTGTGTTATCTGTGTCATCTGTTCTCTCTGTTTTCCTTCCAACAGCGCAACATGTCCGCGTACGTTCTCCCGGTATCTTCAAGAGTTGCGTTCAGTCTTTGTCTGTGTTGCGCTGCTGCTATTCTCCCATGGCACCACAGCCACCGGCCAAGAAGTTCCATAAGGCCAAATCGGCACCGAAACACAAAACGGTGGCTAGAGAAACGCAAAAGCTGCTCACGGCCATGAAAATCCGCCGGCCGGTCAAGACTTTTTACCAGGGCGTCCCAGTGCAGCAGCTGCAGTGGTGGCAGCTGCAGCAACAGCAGTTGCATGAACAGCATCAGCTGATGCTGCTGCAAGAATTGTCACTAGACGAAGAAGATTATGAGGAAGATGATGAAGAAGAAGAACTAACACAATCAGGTATAGACAGAGTTCTCCGTGATCAGTGTGTCCTGATGCACTCCTGAGCGGTCACCTCTCGCCACCGGTATTCGGTTGGATGGATGAATTTTCGAGACCATAACCGAAAACCGGCACGGCGTGTGCCGCTGCAGTAAATGTTCTATGTCTTAGTGGACTGAACTCACGAACGTTGACGATTGAACTCTTACACTTGCACTGGTACAAGACACGACAACTACTCTCACTACTACACTCTTAGGTTGCTTCTTTGTGCGGTTTGGCTTGTACTCTATATTTGCGTGTTTGCTTTGTATTGGTGTATGATTTTCATTAGTGTGTGTGTGAAGCTTTATTTTTGACATGACAGCGATCTGTCGACATATTTAGTCGACATTTTCCCACCCTGGCTTCTTCGCTTAAATGAAAGATCTGCTAAATGCAAATAGCTTTAAAAAACAATCAAATGGGGTGAAGGGCGTTCCAATTTTTAAATTCCAGAATCAAAATGATATGATTTGATGCAACTTGGAGCGAAAAAAAATACCAAGGAACAGGCCAATTAGCAACAAGTTTGCAAAATTAACATTTTTCTCAACCGTCATCACAGTGCTTGCTTTGGCCTCTGTCCAACGAACATTTCAGCGATGTAAAAACACAATTCCACCTTCCAACAATCGTGTCACGGTACACCTCCCACGGCATCTGATAAATCTCACCATCAGACACGCTGACTCACAGCGCTCGCCAGAGGCACGTTTCCCCAATTACTCTTCTTTGATCCGACGAGCGCACATTATGACAGAGTCTTAAAAATAGAACCATCCTCGCCACGCTTCTAGAAGCCGGGAAAACTACGTACACTTTAATTTATTACCTTGCCTTAATGTTCTCCCGCTTTTCGTGCGCCCAGGTGCAAACGATAGAAAACTGGTCAACATCTCACACGATTTCGTCTATCCGCCCTCCACCCCCCGCCGATGCCAGCAGCCAGCGTATGTATCGTTAACACACATGCCAACTCTATTACGCTCAACGCATTCCCGCTTCGCAATTTGCCATTCCATAAATCTCACCTTTGTGGCTACAAATATGCTTTGGCTACTGCAAACTTCGGTGTCGATCCGGGTGCAAAACTGCTCACCTTTTCGCAATTCTGCTACAGCCAGCTGCTTCCTCAACCCCTCTAGCCCTAAACCTCTGAGCGAGATTTTTGACTAACTAACCTAAACAGAGGAAATCGAACATCAAACGAATAGCTCAATGTTGTTTTCCATCTTCGTTAATCTGCGAATCAATCAAAGCTAATCCTCTTCTGTTTTCTTTCATTTCCACCCACTTTTCTCCCCTCTGCTAGGACGCCGAAAGCAGCTGAAGACGCACGCAACGGACGGAACGCTGGTCCAACAGGACGTGACTCAGCAATTCCAACAACTCACCCAACAACAACAACAACAACAGCAAGCTCAATTCTATCAAAATGGTCAATACGACAGCGGAAGCCAGGAGGAATACGATACCGAATTCGTCCCACAGGGCGACGAAAGTCTACCCTGGAGACATTCCCGTAGCCAAACGCGAGCACCTGCTGCACCCTGGCGTCGCGTATCGCAAGATCGACGAACCTCACAGGATCGTCGAACGTCCCGCGATCGGTCACTGTCCATTGATAAACGCGAGGAGGTTAAACCCTGGACCGAACAGGTAGTCAAACTCAAAAAGACCACCAAGGAAGTCAAAAAGGTGGAGAAGGAAAAACTGGAAACTGTACAGCTAAAGCCAGCGCAGATCCAGAAACAAAAACTACAAAAGGAACAACTGGAAACGGTGGAGCTGCGTTCACGGAAGAAGGAACAGCAGACTGCGGAGATCACCGAGCAGAAAATGGAAGAGATGGTGGAAGCAATCATCAAAGAGGACGAAACCGTTGACTACGGTGTCGAGAAGCTACGACATGACGAAGACATCTCCATTCTGGAGATCACCAAACAGGTAGATGAACTGATACGCAAGGAAACGGAGAAAGCTGTTCCTTGGAAACGCGGCAAGAAGACCGAGAAACAGCAGCTTGGCAAGCAGCAATTCGTAGAAACTGAAGAAACCACACTACTTAAGCTAGATCGAACGACCGAAGATGAAGCGATCGAGAAACAAAAGCTAGAACTATCCGTCGATCAACAGGAGGGGGTAGCCTGGAGACGAGGCAAAAAAGCAGAACCATTCTTGCAAACTGAGGATTCAGCTCGACTGCAGCTCGAACAAACCGAGGAGCTACAGGAACAACCCAAACCGCAAGACCAAGCCGTACCATGGAAACGTGGTCCCAAGAAATCTCAAAAGCAAGATGTAGTTGATACCGAGGACTCGGCTCGCTTGAAGGTGGCTGAAACGGAAGAACAAGAAGTGATTCAAGTACCAGAAGAGCAACCGGTCGCTTGGAAACGGGGACTAAAGAAACCTCAAGAAGTCCAAGCTGAAGAACAGACACCAGAAGAGCCGAAAGCAGAGGAACCTCAACAACCGCCTTGGATGCGTGGAAGAAAGCCTGGACCAAAACGAGAAATTCCCAAACCACCAGAACCAGAGAAGGTTGAGCAGATAGCTCTCAAGCCAACCCCTAGACAGAAGAAGGAGATTCCGAAGGAATCCCTTGAAGAAGTCGCGCTGAAACCAGTCCCCAAAAAACCAATTGTTGAAGAAGTGAAACCCGAAGAATTGGAAACCGCTGAAATCAAACCCACAAAACCGGAGAAGCTTAAGGAGCTAACTCCACGGGAAGAGCTGGAACAATTGGAACAAATCGAGTTTGAAGAAAAACCCAAAGTAGTCGAGCCAAAACAGGAAGAACCCGCAAAGGCACCTGAAGAAATACCAAAGGAAGCTCAGCCCGAACCCGAGCAACAATCATGGCGTCGTGCCCGTAAGGAGAAACCAAAGGAAGAAGTCCCAGAGGAAAAACAATGGCCTACGGGCAAAAGACGACCACTACCCACGGAGCCTACGGAAGAGGTAGTCCTTAAACCCATTCCGAAACCACAAAAGGAAGCGGAACCGCTTCCCGAAAAAGATCTATCCATCAAACCGAAACCGATCCCGGAAATTCGCGAAAAACGGGAAAAGGAAGCAGACATTACCCTAAAACCAGTTCCAGAGCAACCCATCCAAGTAGTACAAGAGGAAGCGCCCATAGCGCAGCCGGTTGGGGAAGATGAATCGCACCTGCCTCCCTGGAGACGTGGCAAAAAGGACGTTCCGAAACGAGAAATCCCAAAACCGCCGGAGCCAGAGGTGATCGAAAAGGTCACTTTAAAGCCAACCCAGCGTCAGAAAAAGGAAATTCCCAAGGAATCTCTAGAGGAAGTTTCCCTGAAACCCGTTCCCAAGAAGGCAGAGGAGAAGGAACTCGTTCTTGAAGAGGAGCAGACGGAGAAACTTAAGCGAACTATTGTGAAGAAACCTCGGGAGCTCAGTCCCAAAGAAGAACTCGAGCAGATGGAACCGCTCCGAGTAGAACCCATTGAACACCCGGAGATTCAAGAACCGGTACAACCAATTGCTCCAATTGAAGAAAGCCCTGCTGAACCAACGGTTGAAGTCGAACAGCCATCCTGGAGACGCAGCAAGAAACCCAAACCGGTTGAAGAAGAACCCGAGGAAAAGAAATGGCCTACTGGCAAGCGAAGACCGCTGCCAGAAGAACCCAAGGAAGAAGTCACTTTGAAACCAATTCCAAAGCAGGAAAAACCAGAAGAACCTAAGCCTGCAAAAGAACCTACGATAAAACCAACACCTCTTCCGGAAATTCCGGACGAGCCACGAGAGGAAGAAGTTACCATCAAACCTTCAGTGGATGACGAGTCTCATTTGCCACCCTGGCGACGTGGCAAGAAACCTGCACCCAAACGGGAAATTCCAAAACCTGCCGAACCAGAAGTGATGGAACAGATCAAGCTGAAACCAACTCCGAAGGTGAAGAAGGAACTTCCTAAAGAAGCACTCGAAGAAGTCTCATTGAAGCCCGTTCCAAGGCAACCGGAAGTGGTGGAGGTTGTAGCACTCGAGCCCGAGATCTCCGAAATCAAGGAAGTTAAAATCGTTATGCCAAAGGAGCCGAAACCAAAACGAGAGATTGAACCATTGGAAAAACCAGTATTCCCGGAGATTCCAGAGCCGGAGCCAGTGCAGCTTGAGGAGGTAGAAAAGGTACCGGAGGAGGTAGTTGTACCAGAGAAGCCAGATCTTGAGCAACCGTCATGGCGAAGAACTAAGAAACCAAAGCCAGAGGAAAAAGAACCCGAAGAGAAGAAATGGCCTACCGGAAAGCGTCGTCCATTGCCCGAGGAACCAAAAGAGGAAGTTATCTTGAAACCAATTCCAAAGCCACAAAAAGAAGAAGAACCTACACCAGTCGAGGAACCTAAGATCAAACCTAAACCTATTGCCGCTCCAGAAGAGGAAAAGCCCGAGACAACACCTTGGCGACGAGGCAAGAAGGAGAAACCTGCCGAAGAACCGGAGGAAACCAAAGAATGGCCAAAGGGCAAACGACGACCACTAGAAGAAGCACCAAAAGAAGAGGTTATTCTTAAACCGATCCCCAAGCCAAAGAAAGAGGAAGAACCGCAACCTCCTGAACAAGTAACATTGAAACCGGTTCCCAAATGGGAAGCTCCTGAAGAGCTGGAAGCACCGGTTCAGCAAACTCCTGCGGTAGAAGACCTGCCTAAACCAGCTGAAAAGAAAGAAGAACCTACTTCTTGGCGTCGTGGCAAAAAGGAAAAACCCGCAGAAGAACCTGAAGAGCCAAAGGAATGGCCTAAGGGCAAACGACACCCTCTGGAGGAACAACCGAAGGAAGAGGTGATATTAAAACCGATTCCCAAGCCTACGAAAGAAGAAGAACCCAAAGAACCGAAACAGGTTGAACTCAAACCGGCCGAGAAACCAGAACCGACGCCATGGAAACGTGGTAAACCGAAGGAGAAACCCAAAGAACCGGAGCCGATGGAAGAAGTGAAGCTTAAGCCGATTCCAAAACGGATAGAAGCAGAGGAAGTCGCCAAAGAGGAAGTGGTTCTGAAACCGGTGCCCAAGCAGGAAGCAATAATAGAGGACGTGCAGAAGCCGATTGAACTGAAACCGGTTGAGGAGCCGAAGAAGGAAGTAACGGAGGTGCGGGTGGAAGTCGAGGAACAGATTGTGACAAAGACGAAGCGACGGGTGAAGAAACCGAAGAAACCTCAAGAGCAATATGCCACAGAAAATGTGGCGCCCATGGAGGAGGCCGAATCGTTTGACGAAAACGAGGAACTGCCCCATGTGGCCGAAACAATCGCGGATGTGATTCCGGAGGAAGTACTGGAGTTGATTCCTGAGGAGATTGCGCTGGAGAAACCGAAAAAGAGGAAGTCGAGGGCTAACAAGCACGTGGTGTTCAAAGAGGAACTGAGTACCTATGAAATTCAACCGGAGGTGGTTCAGGAAGATGAAGAGGAAGAGGAAGAAGAGCAAGAAGTTCAGCAAGAAATCTCACAGAAAACAATCCAACTGAAACCTATGGAGGTAACGGAAGTTAAGCCACTTCCAGTTGAGCCGGTTCCAGTTGAGGAAGTGATGGAGGAGCAAGTCGAGTTCCGCAAAGAGATGGAAGTCAAGATCCAATCGAACATCGTCAAAAAGGAAAAGCGACGAATCTTTGTTGACGACAGCCAACCGCTACCAGAGTTGGAGATCATTACTCAGAAACGCGTTCAGGAAGTTACCGACAAAGTAGCGGAAGAGAGCGTTCGTGAAGAGCAACGGATCCTGGAAAGAACCCAGCAGACTATAGCTGAGACTAAGATCCTAGAGCAGAAGGTAAGGATCAAGAAGCAGAAGGTTCAACCACCGAACTTTATCGAAAAGTTGCAACCACAGATCTGCGAACCAAATCAACCAGTTTTGATGAAGTGCAAGATTGAAGGTATTCCCTTCCCGGATGTTCAGTGGTACTTTAACGATACGGTCCTGTTTGCCAATCCCGAATATATAATGGACATTGTGGAAGATGTGGCAACATTGGAGATCGCTACCGTAATGCCTTACCACGTTGGAGTGTACACTTGTGAGGCGAAGAATGTCGCTGGAGTTGCCCTCAGTAAGGCAAATATTGTTGTGCAAGAGAAACCAGAAGTGGGTGAAGCTCCTACTTTTATAACCCCACTGAAGATTTCGGTTAACGAGGATAGGTCAGTGGCAACGGTGACCTGTCAGGTTCATGGAATTCCCCAGCCAAATGTTCGCTGGTTCAGAGACGAAGAAGAGATCGTGGAGATCGAGGAGATCGAAACGGTTTACATTGAGGAGACTGGCCACGTAAAGCTGACAGTGAAAAATCCAAAGCAAAATCTACCGGTTATCTACACTATCCAGGCCGAGAACAAGTTTGGAAGAGCGGTCGGAAAGGCGAACCTGTTCATCCAGTCAATAATGATTGAGAAGCCAAAGGTAGAAATGATCGCTCCAAAGATTGTAGAGCCATTGCAAGCTCAGGTGGTTAAGACGGGATCGACCTTGGTGTTTGAGTGTAGGTTTACCGGCGTACCGAATCCCACGGTGAAGTGGTTCAGGAATAGTAAGGAAATTGTGGAGGAAGAGGAGGTCATCGTCACTACGGAGGAGTATTACAGCAAGATCGTGATCACCAAGATGACGAAGAAGCGTGCTGGAAAGTATGAGATTGTGGTGCGCAACGAGGCTGGTGAAGCCAAGTCTTCCGCTTCGGTTGCCATTTCCGACACTACGGAGATGGACGAAGCCAAGGCGCCAAGGTTTGTTGAACCACTGGTGCCGAAGTTGGTAGCAGAAGCTGAAGTCTGCATCCTGGAAGCCGCAGTGGATTCCTATCCGACATCCACATTCCAGTGGTTCCATGAAGGCGCTGCCATCAAGTCATCCAATGAACTGCGCATAGTCACAGACGAGAACAAGTCTATCTTGATTATTGAGTCGTTCAATAGGCGAGATGTTGGTGCGTATACGTGCCGAGCGGAGAATGTGGCGGGTTCTGTAACATCGACAGCCACCGTACAGGTGCTGGAAACAATCGAAACCGAAGAAGTTACCGAATATATATCACCACGTTTTATTGAATCGATAAAACCGACGCGTGTTATGGACGGAGAAAAGCTGATTCTAGCATGCCAGGTTCATGCAGCGCCTCTGCCAAAGGTCCAGTGGTACCACAACAAGCAGCTGATTGTCGAAACGAAAGACAAACGGTACCAACAGGACACCAGTGGCCGCTGTGTTTTGACCATTTCGGAGGTATTCCCAGAGGATACGGGTGAGTATACGTGTGTGGCTAGCAACAAGATCGGCGAGGCGATTTGCAAGACAACAGTGGACATCGAACCGTTCGAGTACGTTCCCGATTCGGAACAATTCCGTAGCTCCGAAGAGGATTTGTTGACCGACAAGGTAGGAAGTGGTTTAGATTTTGCAGGTTTTAATCGTAAACTGAGCTATCGATTCTTGCAGTCTATCTCAACATTGGAGGAATACGCCGAACCGGTGGAGTTTGCTCCGCAGATTGTGAAGCTGCTTCCCGAGGTGGTCATGTCGGAGGAGCGACAGCTGACCAAGCTAGAGGTAAAGGTATTGGCTCGTCCGAAGGCACGTATTCGCTGGCTTAAGGCCAACGAAGAAATCATTCCGTCCGAGGAGTTCCAGATTGAGAACTTCGAGGACGGCACCTCGATCCTGATCATCAACGACATCTACCCGGATGACTCCGGTTCGATTACTTTCGAAGCGCACAACGCCCTGGGAGTTGCCACGACTACCACCGAGCTGGTAGTGGAAGGTAACGTGGCGACATTCGTCGGCACTAAATTGCTTTTTCAGCGCAACGGGTTTGAGCGTAGTAGAATCGCTTTACTAATCTTCTTTTTTTCGCTTCGGTAGAACTGTTTTCTTCTTTTTGCAGGTTTTGGCAACATATTTTAATAATCATTATCTTGTTTGCGGTTGCAGCTAAGATCCCGTTTTCTTCCCCTATTGTCCCAAATATTCCCAAAAAAAATGAAAGAAATACTTCAAAACTCATAACACCACCTCAACACTCACCACTCTATTATATATATATATATGAAAACTCTATCTCTAAGCATACTCTCGAACCTAAGACGCAAAATACTGAACTACACGGCATAGAACAAACCAAAGATCTATCCCCGGTTTCAGAACAGACTCTAACGAGTGTTTTCTCATTTCCTGAATACAGAACACGTCGGATCCAAGGCCTATAGGAAACCGGAATGGGTACAATACATGGAAGACATGAAAGAAGCACTACAAGGTAATTCGCAAAGATTCAAACTTCATCGACAGTCTATCTCCCATACCGATCATCGGATCATTGAAATCGATCAGTTGATCTTCGAACTTCCTTCATCCTTTTATCTACCCATGAAGCCATCTATCCGTATCGATAACTGTAGTGTTCAAAATTTCCGTTTTATCTCTATGTCAGTTTGTCGCTCAATGTTGTAAAGCAATACGTGCAACAGTGGCTTGTAACAAAGCGTTCATTGTGTGGTTTGTTTGGACTAACCTTACTCCGAAACCTTCTGTTTTAGAAAGCAGCGAAGAGGAACTAGCAGAATTCGTTCGATGGGAAGCATATTGTAGTGGTTACGCATGTAACCAGGAAAGGTAACACTCGAGAAAGCACTAATTCCCTACCCCGTAAGAATAGCTATTTGTTGTGTGAATGTGTGTTTTGGCTCAAGCGTCACTAAGAAATTTTGATCTACACCCACCTCGAAGGATGACCTGCAGGCAGGCGACCCGAGCAACCCAAGGTAGGATCATCTACGTACACGTGTTGTTCATATTCGAACCCACACACACCAACCCTTCGCGCAAATTCTTCCCTGAATAACCGATGCTTACTAGTGCCACTAAATCTGTCAACTGAATTTGAAACTTTACAGCCGCTTACGCAACACCGTCATTCACGGTGGAGATCAAGGATTCCCGTGCTATGCTAGGAGAGAAAGGATTCTTCGAGTGCCACTTTGGAGGCAACCCCAATCCAGGTAGATATTTGAACATCCTCCATCATAGACAGGTCACACAAGTTCTCAAAACAGTCATGCAACCGTCACCCCACGCACCGCCAACATCCGAAATACTCCTACTACAGACTACAGTTCACGAGTTGTCATTCCATGTAACCAAAGAATGGAGTTGGTAATCGATGGTTAACTGTTCGTTCTAGATATTCTATGGTATCGTAACGGTAAGATTGTGATTGGAAATGAACGCGTCAAGATCCGCACCGAGGAGAAAACGGCCACATTGACGATCTACCCAGTTGAGGTCGAAGACTTTGGATTCTACAAGTGCCGTGCGATGAGCGATGCTGGATCATGCGAGTCCTATGCCAAGCTAATCGAGTCTACTACGGAAACGTTAACGGAAGAGGAGCGTACCGAGCTGGACGCACAGTTCGAGTCGAAGCGTACCGTGAGGAATGGAAACGGCGGAAACGGCCGCTCAAAGGTCGACAAGAAGATCGAGGTCGTGATTGAAGAATCGGAGGAAGTACTGCGCAAAAAGGCAGAGCGAAAGAGTCTACGTGAGACAAAGCGAAAAGAGAAGGAAACTATGGTGGTGGAGGAGTTTGTGAAGAAGGAACTGGAGTCCTCACTTCAGGAGAAGGTAAAGTTTTCGCAAGAATCGTCCACCACGCTGACGACGAGTACTACGTCGGAGTTGACACAGGATGTCAAGATAGCCAAGGATAGGGCAACAGTCAAGTTTAAGGAACACCGGGAGACATTGATCGAGGAGGTTATTACGACCGAAACGGTCAAGGAGTTTGAGCGTATGGTCATCACCGAGAAGCTAGACGTTTCCGATGTAGAAAGCGTAAAGCACTCGGTGCAAGTTAACGAAATTCTGACCAACCTGAAGGCGGCGGACTTTGGTCCGGGAGAAGCTCCGCTACGGGAGCTCGCAACAATTGCGTATATGGCAAAGCATGGCGTAACCGTTAATGAGATCAGCAGCTTCTACCAGTCGGATAACTTCCCGGCACTCAAAACACCGGAATCGCAATCGGCTCTGGTGCTACTGCTGGAACGCGAAGGTTATGCAAGTATTGTGACCGAGATTCTCACCGAGACCGACATGGACGAAACGCAGCTTGCCGCAACTGCCGGTTTCCGAGCATTTATGCGCATGATCGAGCTGAACCACGCCAGCGTCGAGGAGATTATCACCCACTTCTCGCCGGAGGACTTCTTCATGCACGAATGGAAGCTGGAACAGGCTGACGAGGTTTGAATCGTTCTTCATAAACTGCTTCACTCTAACACTACTGTTGAGCTCTCCCGGAGCGTTACTAATCTGTGACTTTCTTTTTCTACACTTGCAAAACTTTCTTTCGCTTCCGGATATGTTTTAGAAATTCGAGGAAACCCGACTTGTCTCGTCAAGTGAAGTCCGCACCACTGGTAAATATTCGCAGCTCAATGGCCTGAATTCAGGAACCAATCTAACTGTACTCTTCTCGTTTCTTTATTGCACGCTCGCTTTCCTAAACGCCTGGCAGAAACTACCGTGCTGACCAAAACGGAGCTGGACATCAAAGGTTTGAAATCCTAACTTTCCCACCGCAAAAAAAATGCGCGTTTGTATGAGCTTCCTGCTTCTTTATATCCTACTATATTACTACTCCCTAAAAAAACCGCTCTCACTGTTGTATCTTTTCTTGAATCATATCTTTCTTTATCGAATGTGTTCCTACTACTATTACTGACCACCATCTCTGACGAGCTATCTACTGTTGAGCTCTTGAGTCGAGTTGTTTTTAGCGCTTATTTGCTTAAAATTGTAAACGCTATAAAATATATTCACGCACAACGATCGAATTTCTAGGTTAAGTCAAATCTGAATAAATCGCTTTAGTATTAAATGCACAGCCTGCTTGTCATTATTATGATCTATTGTTTTCAAGTAGCTTTCAGCTTTTGCCATTTGCCGCTCGCTGCTTCTGCTGTAAGAAATGCGCTTTTGTGAACTACCTAGACTGCTGCGATTGGAATGGCACAACAAACGGTGGAATGGTAAGTGTCAAAATTCATAGCAACCCCAGTTGCCAGACTACGCACGCGCCTTGAATGCGGCTATCCTTTCCTGTCATGTACATACAAGTGTACGTTGCATCCCTGAGTACTTTGCGACTCTCTCTCTCACCACACAAACACACGTATCTGTCTCTTTTGAAGCCTGAGAGCCTGCTGCAAGAGCCTGGCGTTTGATCAGATGAAATCGCTCGTTTTCATAGCCCTAAAGTTGCACGTCAAAAACAAACAAAACAAACTCTTTTGAATGCACTGCACGACAATTACAAACAAAACAAAAAATTTCCGTCAAACTCTGGCTTCGTACTTTTAAACTTCTCCCTTAGCCATCCCACCAAAACTCTGTCCACATCAAACCACAGTCCACTTTTCACTTTCCTACAGATGATCACTGATTCTTACATTACCCTTGTTGCCAATTCCAATATGAATTTCACAGAAACACCCGACATCCGTGAAGACACCGCCATCACCACCACCTCCACCACAGTCACTACAGCCACCGTTGGCAAGAAAAAACACAAAAAGACCAAATCAGAAAAGAAACACAAAGAAATCATCACCGAAACGATACAAACAGAAGAAGATCAGAGCATTGCCACATTGAGACAGAAAACACTCATACTCCCGCTAAAGCCACTGCTTCCGAGCGAAGAAGAGATGTTAGACGAGATGGCCATCGAGTTCCTTAAATCGCCTACACGCGAAACTAGGGAACTCCCGATGGGAATCGCCTCCATATCTAGTCTACCGTCCGTATATGCCCAGGTTACCAATCTGGAGCCAAGCGAGACGACCAGTAGCAGTGCATCCATCGACATCGTTCCTCAACGGTCGATGGTCACTGAAGAGATCTTGGTCTCAGAACGGGAATCCGATACCGTCGTGCTGGACAGCAGCAAGCTATCCACTGTACCCAAATACAACATCATAGGCCTTAACGAATCTGTGCAGGTTTCCGAAGTCCTCACCGAGGAATTTCCTCAAGAAACCAGCCAACCGAAAACCGCGACATACTTGGCCAAAACCGAACTTATCCCAACTCAATCCCTTCAGGTCAGCGAGTCCATGACTCATGACTCCACTACCGATCTGCAAACTCACACCGAAACACCGTCTAGCGCCAAACTCGAACTGTATACTCACGACGCCAAGATCGTACAGGAAACGATCAGTAATCTCTCAGAAGAAGATCTCACTCTCCCCCAAGCCCCCGTCTCTAGTAAAGCACACCGCACCGTTCTCTCCAGAGAATCTATCGAAGTCACCGAAGTGAACAAAATCGAAAAAGAACAAGACTTTGATTCGCAAATCAAACTACCATCAGTTACTCCCAAATATCACATCTTACCATCCGAATCCATTCAAACAAGTGAAACGATCGCCGAAGACCGTCCAAGTAAGTTCTACCCCGAGCTGGCCGTTCCCACTGAATCCGCCCGTAAAGTATTCATCGAGCAAAAATCCTACACCACTCACGTCTTAAATGCTCCCGAGAAAGAAGACATCTACATACCGGGTCGTCTGCCTCCTCAACAAAAAGCAGACGTTCTTCTGTTCACCACTGAACCGCTCCAAATAGCCGAGCAAGCTGCCCAAGAACGAGAATCTGAATTTGCCGCCATGCCGAAACCAACCACCTACCAAGCCGTTGATACGTTGGCCACCCTGGAAGGTCTCACCACGGAAACCGTCAACGAGGCCTTCTCCACCAGACCATTCGAAACGGAATCCTATGAAACCCGAACGGCTACCATCGACTTCCGCGAGCAAACAACGGTTTCCGTCTCCAAAGTCGTCAGCAACGAAGTTGAATCCGAGCTGGCACCATTCGAACTAGCACCATCTGCCAAGGCATCCACATCCCTATCAACTCTCTCCGTAGGTGAATCCGTCGAGCCGTTTGTCCACGAAAAAGAAACTCTGCACCAGGGAGCTCCACGTCCCTATGAAGCCACCGCCGAATCCATCCTGGAACCAATCGAAAACATTTCCGTTATGGAAATCGAAACAGCTGACACTGCCGGAAGATTCTCCCCGGAAGCCATGGATCGTACCGAGGTGGCCAGCACCGGATTTACCCTGCAACAATCCCATGCCGTTTCAGCTGTTGTAACGAACGAAAAGGAAACTGAATTCGTAGGAAGAACTGACCAGAAACCTGCCTTTGCCGCTACCCAACTGGACGTCCAACATCAGTTGGAAGTCATCACTCACGAAACTAGCGAACGTGAATCGGACTTTACGGCTCCGCAGATGCCTGCGGATCAGATCGCCAAAACCGTTCCAACCGACATGCTCAAGTCCGTACAGGTTCAGGAGACTACAACGAATGTCTCCACAACTGAGTTAACTCAACCGACGCACGAAACATCTGCTGCTCACGTTCGAACCGAAGAGTTAGAAGAGAAGATCATTTCCGAAACCACAATCTACGAAGGTACTCAGGAATACGAACAACCTTTGGAACCGGAACAGAAAGTAGCGGATACTACTCTCCAGCCAAACACCGAACTGATCGTCACCGAAGTTGTTACCGAGCAAAAAGAACGTGAAGGCTACGATGTCAAAGAAATTGCCAAAGATTACATGGTCAAACCTGTTCCTACGCATTCGCTAAAATCGGTCCTAGTTGAAGAAACTTTAATCTCCGATAGTCTTGATCAAGTGCAGGAGACACCACATGTTACATCCTCCGCTGAAGTTAGAGACGATACGTTTGAAGAAACGGTCATATCTGAAACAATGGTCCTGGAAGGTACCGAGCACTACGCTACTCCTGAAACACCTGCCATGAAATCGGTTGACACCAAAACCGAACCATTGGAGAGCCTCGTAGTTACCGAAGTTGTAACCGAAGTCAGGGAACAAGAAGGAGTCACGGTTACTGAAATTTCCAAAGACTATGTTGCCAAGGCTTCGGCAACGGATGCCCTGAAATCGGTTCTCATCGAAGAAGTGCAAGTTTCCAACATCACCAGCGATCTCGTGAAACCGGAGGTTCAAACGTCTTCCGCGACGATCAACAGAGATGAACTCGAGCAGACTACAGTTCTGCAAGCTCTCATCCTGGAAGGACTCAACAGGCTGTTGGAGGATACGAAACCGGAACTAAAAACAGCCGAAGCGTTGCTAAGTCCAAACAGAGAGTTAACCATTACAGAAATCGTTGCTGAGCAGAAAGAGCGAGAAGGTTTCGACGTTCGAGAAATTGCAAAGGACTACGTTGCAAAGCAGGTTCCTTCACATACACTGAAATCTATCGTTGTAGAAACAACCGAAGCCACTGATTCGGTTGGTAATGTAACCGAGCTTCAGATGACCGAATCTTCTGCTACAATGAAGACGGATCAGTTTGAAGAAAAAATCATCAGCGAAACGATGGTCTTTGAGGAAACGAGGAAACATGAGCAACAAGAATACGATACCAAGCAAGCAGAACCGACACTGCTTCCAATTTCTGAGCTGATCATTACCGAAGTGGTGCCCGAACAGCGGGAAAAGGAAGGATATGACGTGTGTGAGATTGCTAAGGACTACACCGCTCAAGCAGTTCCTAGCCATACATTGAAGTCGGTTCTCGTACAGGAAGTACTCACTTCGGATACGGTAGATCATGTAGTACAAGAAACGCCTCAGAGCAGTTCTGCTACGGTCAAGACCGACCAGATGGAGCAAACGGTTGTTTCGGAAACCGTTGCCTATGAAGGAATTGATACGGTTTCGGAACAGCAAAAACCAACGGAAATAATAGCCGACAAGGTGATCCAATTGGTAAATGAACTCCTGGTAACCGAAGTGGCACCGGAAGAGAAAGAACGTGAAGGTTTCTCAGCTGCTGAGTTAGCCAAAGATCACGTCGCAAAGGCAGTTCCGACCGATACACTGAAATCGGTAACGGTTGAAGAGGTACTTACCACGGAAGATTCAGAAAAATTCGAAAAGGTTGAAACAGCTACTACGACAGCTTCAGTAAGAAGTGATCAGTACGAGCAGACCGTAATACAGGAAACCATGATCTACGAAGACACTGAACGCTACGATGAAGGTCCGAAACCAACGGAAAAACTTGCCGAAACTATTGTAATGCCCATTTCGGGGCTAGTCATAACTGAAGTTCATCCGGAACAGAAGGAAATAGAAGGATACGATGTAAAAGAGATAGCTAAGGATAATGTGGCAAGATCTGTCCCGTCACACACTTTGAAGTCAGTTACCGTAGAGGAAGTACTCCTGTCTGAAAAGGAAGAACAGCTAGTCAAACCGAAAACGATAACGTCAACCGCATCCATGCAAAGTGACGAACTGGAACAGAAGTTTATTTCGGAGACGATGATCTTCGAAGGTTCTGAACATCTTCCGGAGGACGAACAGCCATCTATGAAGAAAGCATTCCCGATATATCAACCCAATACAGAGGTTGTTGTTACAGAAGTCGTTCCTGAACAAAAGGAACGGGAAGGATTCAGCGTTGAAGAAATCGCCAAAGATCACGTAGCAATGGCAGTTCCATCGCATACATTGAAATCGGTACAGATTCAGGAGACCCTGTCATCCGAAAACGTCGATGACTTTATCAAGGAAGCTACTGCCATGTCATCCGCAGTGTTCAAAGAGGATCAATTCGAAGAAACTCGCATACAGGAAACCATCGTTCTGGAATCTACAGCCAAATATGACGAACAAGCAAAACCAGATCAGAAGACTGCCGATACCATTATTTCTTCAATAAGTGAACTGATTGTCACTGAGGTGATTGCCGAACAGAAGGAAAAGGAAGGATACAGCATTGAGGACATTGCAAAAGATCACACCGCGAAGGTTGTACCATCAGATGCACTGAAGTCTGTAACGGTAGAAGAAGTTCAACCAGCTGATGTGCTAGGTAGAGTAGTTGATACGATAACGGATTCAAAAACTGCTACGATCAAAGAGGAATCATTTGAGCAGACCACCACTTCCGAGACATACATCTATGAAGGACTAGGTCAGTACAGCGATGAGAAACCTTCACAAAAGGTAGCTGCGCCGAATGTGGAAACCATCAGAGAGCTGGTCGTCACGGAAGTCATTGCAGAGCAGAAGGAAAAGGAAGGATATGATGTGAAGGAGATTGCAAGCAATTACGTTGCTAAGGAGGTACAATCACACACGCTACGGTCCATACAGGTAGAACAGGTCCAGCCATCGGATGACGTCGAACAAATTCCAGATCAGGATACCCAAACATCCCATGCCAAACCTGTAGGCAGTGAAATTGAACAGAAGATCATTTCCGAGAATGTAGTATTGGAAACCATCGACACCATGGTAGAACAGGTTCAACCAGAGCAGAAGTCTGCTGAGGCTAGCTTCCAACCAAGCACGGAGCTGATCGTTACAGAAGTGATCGCCGAACAGAAGGAGAAAGAAGGTTACAGCGTGGAAGACATCGCTAACCAGTATGTTGCCAAATCAGTACCGTCTCATTCTCTGAAATCTATTATCGTTGAAGAGGTTGTCACTTCCAGCGCCACTGGAGACGTTACCACGGACGAAAGTAGTCTTTCCACTGCTCAAATCAGAGAAGATGAACATGAACAAACCACAGTCACCCAACAAATTATTCTGGAGAACTATGAACAGCTGGAGAAGCCTCTGCAACCGGAACAAAAATCCGCCGTACCATCCATGCAACCAAACGAGGGCTTGGTAGTCACTGAAATTGTTTCAGAACAGAAGGAAACTGAAGGATACAGCGTTGAAGAGATCGCCAAGAACTATTCGGCCAAACAGGTTCCATCTCACACTATGAAATCGATCACCGTGGAAGAGGTTCAACTTGCTGATGCTACAGAAAGCATACAGCAGCCGGAAACCTTGACCACCATGGCCACCGTTCGGAAAAATGAATTTGAACAGACTACAGTCTCGGAAACCATGGTCTACGAAGAACTAGGTAAGCAACTGGAGAAAGTCGCTCCGGAGCACAAAACAGCGGACGCTACACTGCTACCGATTACGGAATTGATGGTAACGGAGATTGTTGCCGAGCAGAAAGAGAAAGAAGGATTTGACGTGCATGACATTGCCAAAGGCTATGCAGCCAAACCTGTCACCGAAGGCTTGATGAGATCGTTAATCGTGGAAGAAGTCCAACCATCCGACCGATTGGGAGATGTTACGCAAACTACCGAAGAGCACCTAGCCACTGTACAGAAGGATGAATTCGAACAAACGACCGAAACGGAAACAATGGTATACGAAGACGTCAGTGGCATCATAGAATCTATCAAACCGGACTCACGAACAGCTGATGTATTACTCCAACCAAATGTGGAGCTTGTTGTTACAGAAATCATCAGCGAGCAACGTGAGAAGGAAGGTTACGACGTCCATGAAATTGCCAAGGATTATGTTGCTCAAGCTGCTCCAGCCAAGACACTCAAGTCGGTAATAGTTGAGCAGGTCGAAGTGACGGAAGGTGTTTCCAAGATAGCGGTCCAAGAACGAACGGAGCATTCTGCCATTGCCAGTAAGGATACACTAGAACAGACCATTGTAACCGAAACGTTAGCGTACGAAGATATCAGTCTACAGGAGCAGACTCTAATTCCAGAGCAGAAACAAGCCGAGGCCATCTTGGAGCCCATGTCAGGAATTACCATTACTGAAGTTATAACCGAGCAAAAGGCCAAGGAAGGAATTCAAATTGCGGAACCAGAACAGCAGAAGGCTAAGACGGTTCCAACGGATATGCTGAAGTCACTGACAGTTGAACAGGTACAACCTCTGCAAGAGGTAACAGAAGTTGTATCAGATAGCTCCAAACCATCAACAGCTGCCGTGAAAACCGATGACCTGTCAGTGACCACTGTTTCGGAAACAACGACTTTCGAAGGAATCAAGGAGTACACTGGCAAGATTGAATTCGATTGGCATACTGCGAAACTTGTCCCAGCTGAAGTCTTTAAGAGTCTTTCCATTGAACAGGTTCAGCCTTTCCTACTTACTGGTAATATTCCGGAAGAGATGCTCAAGCCAATGTCCGTAGTAGTCCAAACAGATGAACAGGAACAGGTAGTCGCCACAGAAACGACGGTCTTCGAGTGCATCAAGGACTTTATAGAAAGAATGGAACATGAGGAACACTTTGCCAGACCGGTAACGGGAGACATTCTGAAATCACTGACCGTTGAACAGGTCGTATCGCTACAGCACACCGGAGACGTTGAAAAATTCATTGCAAAGGCGTCGTCAGCCCTTTTAACATCATATGAACGTGAACAGACTACCGTCACAGAGTCTATCATCTACGAAGCCCTCAAAGAATATCTCGGTAAGCTGGAGATAGAGGGACAAACAGCAAAACTCATTCCGAGTGATGTACTGAAGTCTCTTACCGTACAGCAAATTCAACCTTTGGACGAGTTGGATATTGTGGTTCCAGAAGAGAAACCTATTTCACTGGCAACCACTAGGACGGATGAATACGAACAGATTGTCACTTCCGAGGCTGCGGTCTACGAAGGATTAAAGGAGTACGATGGTAAACTGAAACTTGAAGAACATCTAGCAAAACGTGTTCTTCCATCCGAGAAAAAATCGCTCTCGGTGGAACAAACTGAAACCTTCATCGGGATCGGAGATGTTGAGATCGATGAAAGTAAAGTTTCCGAAGCGGTTGTTAGAACCGATGAATTCGAAGAAACAACTATATCGGAAACTACAATCTACGAAGGAATACAGGAAGGTCCGGAAAGGATTGATGTTCAACAAAAATATGCAACTCCTGCGTATGATGTACTGAAATTACCCATCAAAACAGAAATCGGAACAACTGACGCGGTTGAAGATCTTTCGGTTATGCTGACAACACAAAAGGACAGCGCTACGAGTGTTATTGTTGAACAAATAACCGCTTCTCAAACACAAACTGTAGCACATGATTCGTTAGGTCAATTGGAAGCACCAGAAGAGGTAGACACTAAACATGCGATTCCCCAAGTATCGGATCTTCACGTGCCAACACTTTTGGAAACAATACCTAGCGATGCTCTCGATCATTTTATACAACCACAAGATGTACTCGAACGTAGTGCTACAGTCAATATTAGCGATTTCATTGTACCATTACAATCCCATACCATATCAGCCGACACTACAGCGCCATTCGAAGAAACCACCGAACCACGTAAGTTTGCCACCAAATCTATACAAGAAGGCTTGAGAGCAGCCGAATGTATAGAGGTGTCCAGTAACGAACTAAACGACATAACCGTACCTACTGAAGCCCCTCAAGGACAGGCATCAGTATCATTCACAACTAATATCATAGCAAATGTAATGGAAACAACTACACACGAAAATGTAGATAACATTACTGTACATAGAGAACCCACAGAGCGGTTCGCCCAATTAACACAATCGATGTTCGATATGTACGAAGAAATGATGCCATTGGTTCGAGAAGGTAAGTTCTGTACACTCACATCAAAGAAAACCCACATTCCAATACATTTAAAAATATTCCAAGAACGTATCATAAAATCAAAAACATTCCAAATACAATGCAAAATGCGATAAACAATACAACCATAACAAATTAATACTAAAAACACACCTCACTCACTATTTCAACAGATCACACACCAACAACCTCAATACAAACACGAACAGTCAAACAAGCATTACACGAAGACACAACAGAACAAGAAACACAAGAAGAGTTGTCCTTACACCAGCAACACGTCACTCGAAAGCAATCTATCATAATAACACAAGAAGATGATTCAGAAACGTCGATGGTCAATTTTACTATCAGAAAGCCGAAAAAACTAATAAAAGAAGAAATAGTGCAGGAGACAACAATTCAGGAACTTCCTGAAGACGTACACGTCACAGAGATCATAACTGAAGAAGGTAAACCTAGGAAACTAGTTACCAAGAAACGCGTCATCAAGAAGAAGGCTGGAAAGAAAGAGCAAGTCACCGAGATCATCACAGTCCAAGAGGACGATCAGCTGCCTCAGACAACGGTCACTGTCACTGAGTCCGAGTTGCCCTTCGAAGAGGTCACTGAGTTCAAACCAATTGCCATCCAACCTCAGGAAGCCATCATTCAAGAGCTTCCTGAAGAGGTCAAGGTAACCGAAGTCATCACTGAAGAAGGCAAACCCAAAAAACAAGTTACCAAGAAACGCGTCATCAAGAAGAAGGCCGGAAAGAAGGAGCAAGTCACCGAGATCGTCACAGTCCAAGAAGACGATCAGTTGCCTCAGACAACGGTCACTGTTACTGAATCCGAGTTGCCCTTCGAAGAGGTCACTGAGTTCAAACCAATTGCCATCCAACCTCAGGAAGCCATCATTCAAGAGCTTCCTGAAGAAGTCAAGGTAACCGAAGTCATCACTGAAGAAGGCAAACCCAGGAAACAAGTTACCAAGAAACGCATCATCAAGAAGAAGGCCGGAAAGAAGGAGCAAGTCACCGAGATCGTCACAGTCCAAGAGGACGATCAGCTGCCTCAGACAACGGTCACTGTCACTGAGTCCGAGTTGCCCTTCGAAGAGGTCACTGAGTTCAAACCAATTGCCATCCAACCTCAGGAAGCCATCATTCAAGAGCTTCCTGAAGAGGTCAAGGTAACCGAAGTCATCACTGAAGAAGGTAAACCCAGGAAACAAGTTACCAAGAAACGCGTCATCAAGAAGAAGGCCGGAAAGAAGGAGCAAGTCACCGAGATCGTCACAGTCCAAGAGGACGATCAGCTGCCTCAGACAACGGTTACTGTCACTGAATCCGAGTTGCCCTACGAAGAGGTCACTGAGTTCAAACCAATAAGCATTGTGCCTCAGGAAGCCATCATTCAAGAGCTTCCTGAAGAGGTCAAGGTAACCGAAGTCATCACTGAAGAAGGCAAACCCAGGAAACTAGTTACCAAGAAACGCGTAATCAAGAAGAAGGCCGGAAAGAAGGAGCAAGTCACCGAGATCGTCACAGTCCAAGAAGACGATCAGCTGCCTCAGACAACGGTTACTGTCACTGAATCCGAGTTGCCCTTCGAAGAGGTCACTGAGTTCAAACCAATTGCCATCCAACCTCAGGAAGCCATCATTCAAGAGCTTCCTGAAGAGGTCAAGGTAACCGAAGTCATCACTGAAGAAGGCAAACCCAGGAAACAAGTTACCAAGAAACGCGTAATCAAGAAGAAGGCCGGAAAGAAGGAGCAAGTCACCGAGATCGTCACAGTTCAAGAAGACGATCAGTTGCCTCATACAACGGTCACTGTCACTGAGTCCGAGTTGCTCTTCGATGAGGTCACTGAGTTCAAACCAACTACGATTCAACCTCAGGAAGCCATCATTCAAGAGCTTCCTGAAGAGGTCAAGGTAACCGAAGTCATCACTGAAGAAGGCAAACCCAGGAAACAAGTTACCAAGAAACGCGTAATCAAGAAGAAGGCCGGAAAGAAGGAGCAAGTTACCGAGATCGTCACAGTCCAAGAAGACGATCAGCTGCCTCAGACAACGGTCACTGTCACTGAGTTCGAGTTGCCCTTCGAAGAGGTCACTGAGTTCCAACCAATTGCCATCCAACCTCAGGAAGCCATCATTCAAGAGCTTCCTGAAGAGGTCAAGGTAACCGAAGTCATCACTGAAGAAGGCAAACCCAGGAAACAAGTTACCAAGAAACACGTCATCAAGAAGAAGGCCGGAAAGAAGGAGCAAGTCACCGAGATCGTCACAGTCCAAGAGGACGATCAGCTGCCTCAGACAACGGTCACTGTCACTGAATCCGAGTTGCCCTTCGAAGAGGTCACTGAGTTCCAAACAATTGCCATCCAACCTCAGGAAGCCATCATTCAAGAGCTTCCTGAAGAGGTCAAGGTAACCGAAGTCATCACTGAAGAAGGCAAACCCAGGAAACAAGTTACCAAGAAACGCGTAATCAAGAAGAAGGCCGGAAAGAAGGAGCAAGTCACCGAGATCGTCACAGTCCAAGAGGACGATCAGCTGCCTCAGACAACGGTCACTGTCACTGAATCCGAGTTGCCCTTCGAAGAGGTCACTGAGTTCCAAACAATTGCCATCCAACCTCAGGAAGCCATCATTCAAGAGCTTCCTGAAGAGGTCAAGGTAACCGAAGTCATCACTGAAGAAGGCAAACCCAGGAAACAAGTTACCAAGAAACGCATCATCAAGAAGAAGGCCGGAAAGAAAGAGCAAGTCACCGAGATCGTCACAGTCCAAGAAGACGATCAGTTGCCTCATACAACGGTCACTGTCACTGAGTCCGAGTTGCCCTTCGACGAGGTCACTGAGTTCCAACCAATTGCCATCCAACCTCAGGAAGCCATCATTCAAGAGCTTCCTGAAGAGGTCAAGGTAACCGAAGTCATCATTGAAGAAGGCAAACCCAGGAAACAAGTTACCAAGAAACGTGTCATCAAGAAGAAGGCCGGAAAGAAAGAGCAAGTCACCGAGATCGTCACAGTCCAAGAAGACGATCAGTTGCCTCATACAACGGTCACTGTCACTGAGTCCGAGTTGCCCTTCGACGAGGTCACTGAGTTCCAACCAATTGCCATCCAACCTCAGGAAGCCATCATTCAAGAGCTTCCTGAAGAGGTCAAGGTAACCGAAGTCATCACTGAAGAAGGTAAACCCAGGAAACAAGTTACCAAGAAACGCGTCATCAAGAAGAAGGCTGGAAAGAAAGAGCAAATCACCGAGATCGTCACAGTCCAAGAGGACGATCAGCTGCCTCAGACAACGGTCACTGTCACTGAGTCCGAGTTGCCCTTCGACGAGGTCACTGAGTTCCAACCAATTGCCATCCAACCTCAGGAAGCCATCATTCAAGAGCTTCCTGAAGAGGTCAAAGTAACCGAAGTCATCACTGAAGAAGGCAAACCCAGGAAACAAGTTACCAAGAAACGCGTAATCAAGAAGAAGGCCGGAAAGAAGGAGCAAGTCACCGAGATCGTCACAGTCCAAGAAGACGATCAGTTGCCTCAGACAACGGTCACTGTCACTGAGTCCGAGTTGCCCTTCGACGAGGTCTCTGAGTTCAAACCAACTACGATTCAACCTCAGGAAGCCATCATTCAAGAGCTTCCTGAAGAGGTCAAGGTAACCGAAGTCATCACTGAAGAAGGCAAACCCAGGAAACAAGTTACCAAGAAACGCGTAATCAAGAAGAAGGCCGGAAAGAAAGAGCAAGTCACCGAGATCGTCACAGTCCAAGAGGACGATCAGCTGCCTCAGACAACGGTCACTGTCACTGAATCCGAGTTGCCCTTTGAAGAAGTCACTGAGTTTAAACCAATTGCCATCCAACCTCAGGAAGCCATCATTCAAGAGCTTCCTGAAGAGGTCAAGGTAACCGAAGTCATCACTGAAGAAGGCAAACCCAGGAAACAAGTTACCAAGAAACGCGTAATCAAGAAGAAGGCCGGAAAGAAGGAGCAAGTCACCGAGATCGTCACAGTCCAAGAGGACGATCAGCTGCCTCAGACAACGGTCACTGTCACTGAGTCCGAGTTTCCCTTCGACGAGGTCACTGAGTTCCAACCAATTGCCATCCAACCTCAGGAAGCCATCATTCAAGAGCTTCCTGAAGAGGTCAAGGTAACCGAAGTCATCACTGAAGAAGGCAAACCCAGGAAACAAGTTACCAAGAAACGCGTAATCAAGAAGAAGGCCGGAAAGAAGGAGCAAGTCACCGAGATCGTCACAGTCCAAGAGGACGATCAGCTGCCTCAGACAACGGTCACTGTCACTGAGTCCGAGTTGCCCTTCGACGAGGTCTCTGAGTTCAAACCAATTGCCATCCAACCTCAGGAAGCCATCATTCAAGAGCTTCCTGAAGAGGTCAAGGTAACCGAAGTCATCACTGAAGAAGGCAAACCCAGGAAACTAGTTACCAAGAAACGCGTCATCAAGAAGAAGGCCGGAAAGAAGGAGCAAGTCACCGAGATCGTCACAGTCCAAGAAGACGATCAGCTGCCTCAGACAACGGTCACTGTCACTGAATCCGAGTTGCCCTACGAAGAGGTCACTGAGTTCAAACCAATTGCCATCCAACCTCAGGAAGCCATCATTCAAGAGCTTCCTGAAGAGGTCAAGGCAACCGAAGTCATCACTGAAGAAGGCAAACCCAGGAAACTAGTTACCAAGAAACGCGTCATCAAGAAGAAGGCCGGAAAGAAGGAGCAAGTCACCGAGATCGTCACAGTCCAAGAAGACGATCAGCTGCCTCAGACAACGGTCACTGTCACTGAATCCGAGTTGCCCTTCGAAGAGGTCACTGAGTTCAAACCAATAAGCATTGTGCCTCAAGAAGCCATCATTCAAGAGCTTCCTGAAGAGGTCAAGGTAACCGAAGTCATCACTGAAGAAGGCAAACCCAGGAAACAAGTTACCAAGAAACGCGTCATCAAGAAGAAGGCCGGAAAGAAGGAGCAAGTCA